AAAGTGTAACTAAAATGAAGTGGACTTCATTTAGAATCAGACCTGTTTGTGGTCTCGGTTGATGTTGACGAGGTCGAAGGAGAAGATGTGGTCTTCGGCTCCCACCAGTAGCCTCCCACGCTCCTCGTCCAAGAGGAAGGTGTCGTAGCCCGAGCTGTTGGCCAGGCCATTGAAGGTGATGAGGTTACTGGAGTCCAACATTTCTGAAAGGAAAACGAGACAACATTTAGAGGAATATTTCTCCACGATTGAGACCAGTAACTGTCAATTCAAATCAAAAGCATTTGGTGTGACTGGAAACACTTAAAAGATTGTTAAATATATATATATATATACAGACAAATGCTAACATTTAGCCTCTGTCATTTTGGCTAACCTTTAGACATTCAAGTTCTGTTTTTTTGGCTAGCGTTCATCCTTAAGCCCTTTTGTAATTATTTTAGTCATGATTAAAAAACCATATCTCTGTAGGATGTGTTTTCATTATGTACTTTTAATAACCAATTATTTATCGACACGCTTAGAGCTTCATGGGCAGTTTTTGCTAACTTTGAACTAATTATTGCTGTGTCAGTATTTCAGTTTATGTTCCAGTTCACTTTCTCGGTCAACAAGAGACAAGCTGGAATATAATCAGTGCCTCTGACAGTAAGTAATGTGTTTATTGTAAAAGAAAAAAAAAAGGGCATTGGACTGGTTATGTTCCAGCTTGTCTGATTGTTGGCCTCTGGATGAGTTGAAAACAATGTTTGGAGTCAGCGAAGACGAACAGTACTTTATGAGCAATAATTGTCTAAAGGCAATTATGAATTTAAACCAGACATGGGCAAACTACGGCCCGGGGGCCCGATGCGGCCCGTTTGGCTTGTTAATCCGGCCAAACGTGTTCAAATTATGTTATTCATTTCTATTATTATTATTATACTCCTGCCTTTTCCCTGCAATGCCCGTATTTCTCCATAGATGGCGTAAAAAAGGCTTAAAGCATTTTAGCAGTTGAGACTTTTACACGTCATTTTTGTTTTAGTTCATACTAAGGCCCACGAGTCACAAAGTTTGCCCACGCCTGATTTAAACTGATTTTATTTTCTCACTACACTTCAACTTTTGTATGAAAAAACAAAGTCAGTCCAGGTCACTGTCAGTTAACGTTTAACCACAATGGAGGAATCTTCACCTCTGAAGACCTGGTGTTATATTAACAACCCACACTCCCTTTTTGGGGGCAACATAAACTACACACAGTATAGTTCAAGTGAGGGCAAAAAGTCCAACACACATGATCCTAGGTTGTTACAAGGGGGGGGGGGGGTCACTCCAGTTACATAGATCGACTTCAGGACCACCAGACCAAGCCTTGAGACCAGCCAGGTAAATATAAAATGTTAAGACAACTGATTAAATGGCTCAACAGAAAACAACACCAAAGGCTAAAACCCACCAGAAATGGTAGAAATGTAGATTTGGTAAACATAACCAAGAGCTTCCTTTCAAAAAACTATTTTTTGGAAATTGTTGCCAATTTTTAGAATCTCTTCGTTTGTTACATCCCTGAGAGATCTTCATCTCCAAGGCCTATTTCAGGACATTAAAACGATGCATTATCTCAGTCATCTTCTACAGTTACAAGGTCACGGGGGGTGACTTCAGCCAATTCCAGGAGTCAAAGGGCAAAGGGTTGTGGTACACCGTGGTCAGTTCAACAGTTTACTAGAACGAGAAAGTGTTGGCGCCACGTTAGCACAGCCTGCAGCGCTAGTTACGTTTAACAGCGTAGTTTTTGTTAAATTAAAGTGTATAGTACTGCAGTCAGTGTCAAATCTTCAACACCGCATACCACAACTAGTAAGACAGAGAGTAAAATAAAGCAGTGCGGAAGGCAAAGAAGATCTTGGCGTGCTAGCTTATTTATCAGCCAAGGCTATGCTACAAGAAGTAGCAACAATAACTGGTACCTAGAATCAGCCCATCATTTATCTACCCTCAGTATTTGGCCACTATCGGTACTCGTACCACAGTTTAAGAACCACTGCTTTACTGGACACATTTTGGTAGATTTTTTTTTTTTATAGGCAGTGAAATCTGTCTCTGGATTAATGAATTAAACATGTGTCTCAGATAACGGCAGGTGAAGTCACATGACACGTCACTCTCACTCTGTGAGACGAAGTCATCCATCATCATCACCGTCAACACACACCACAATCTAGATACCAGAACAGCTACACACATTTACATCACACACACACACACACACACACACACACACGCACTGTAGTGAAATGTGCAGTCCAGTGGACTGTGATCTGTGTGTGTGTGTGTGTGTGTGTGTGTACCCGCAGAGCTGTGAGTGACGGGCGGCTGTAGGAGCCATCTGCGCCCACTCACTGTGTAGACCTTGGACATCTGTGTCTACATAAAAGAGAGAATGGCTGGATGGAGGAGGAAGTGGTGTGTGTTCACCGTCTCTCTGAGTACGAGCAGGGAGGACGAGGGATGTAGGGGGTGGTGGTGGTGGTGGTGGTGGTGGTGGTGGGGGGGGGGGTGTATTGGGGGGCGTGGTCGTCACCTAATAAAGAAGGTCGCAGCTCATCTGCGTCACTTGGAATCTGGAGGTTTTGAGGCTACGTTGGGAGCTGAGGATATCATGTGGGTGGGTGTGGGCATGAATGGAGGTCTGTGAGTGTGAGTGTGTGTTTGTGTGACAAATTGTACCAGAACACAGATGGGTTGAGATTGTGTGCGAGTGTGTTTTGGAAGGGGGGGCAGGGGGGGTAGTAAAGGTATCTCGTTCTCCACTGTTAAACATTCCATCAAACCAGTATTTCCATCCCCTCAACACATGCAGGTGAAAAGACTGAGAACATTTGGATCATATTAGCCGACCGCTAGCTGTTTCCAAAACATACTTTTGGTTAACGTTTAGCTCCAGTATTTTCTATCTGGCACCTTATATGCTAACTTGCTAACAGTTTTTAACTAATATGAAGCCATTTTGGTGAATGCTTAGCTATAAATTTAATTTAGTTTTTCTTTTTTTATAGCTAATGTTTAGCTACTTTAACGGTTGACTATTCTTTGACTTTGAGCTTTGTTTGATTTTTAAAAAAA